ACCTCAGGCTATAAGTGCCCATATTGGTTTGGTCTTTAGCCCACACACAGAGCCTGGCTCCTTATCATGGTTGTTAGTAGTGATCAATCCAGGGGATGGGTATCTTGCTCCACAGCTCAATGAGACATAAAGCAAACACCCTGCCTGATTTTTCCAGCAATGGCCATGTCTCAAAGTATGTGGAGGATTGTCCTCCGATCAGTGGTCTGGTCAGTCCTTCCCTAGGCCATTCATCAAAGCTGGCCATGGGGCTGAAGAGTAGTCAGTCCTGGAGGTCTACACATTGGCCGGTGAAGGGGGAGAAAGGCAAATCTCTGCTGATAGGAAGTGGGGTCATTCAGGATGTGAAGCGGTGAAAAGCAGCATGCTTTGATGCGACAAGAACAGTGATAGGGGAAAAGTCGAAGTATAAAGGGGGAAAAGCAGCATGGGACGGCATGGAAGGCTCCAGGGAAGAGGTTATCCTCACAGGGGTATAAAGCGAAATAAAAGTGGAATTAGAGACTCTGGTTGTAGGGGTAACCTGGTATCCAGGCAGAGCCAGTGCTGAGGGTGTCCACTGTGAGCTGCATTCCCTACCATCACTTGCCATTTGCTGGAAGCAACCTGCAACTCGAAAATGCGTAGAACAGTGCCCAAGGTGGGTAGTGTCAGTACCAGTTTGATAGACAAAAGCGTGGACTCTATATCTGATGGACACGAAAACATTGAAGTGGCAAATGCATGAAACTTGCCGTAACAGAATTCATTTACAATCATGTTTTTGAAATGAATGCAGTGTAAAATTTCAAATGCTGGTCACAAGCAACGTCTGGCATGTCATTGGCCTTTGCTAGTGGCACATAGAGGTGTCAATTAAGCAAATGTTTTCACGACTGACTTTAAATGAGATGGATGCTGGCCACAATCAACACGGAACTTAGAAGTCGGCAGTGGGGCACAGAACCAATCCCCTCTGTACCTGCATTCTGAGTACAACAATAGAGGCTACTGCATGCAGTGAGAAGTTCAATAGTTAATGTGGGGCTGGAGTGGAAATGGTTTAGAATGTATGGAACAATCCCAATATATTGTTATCTGTTAGTCACTCAGCCAGTGCCACACAGCTACCAAGTATCCCAAAAATCAATAAGAACTCCTTTAAATGGTCTTCATTATCGTCAGACTGTATCTCTCATCGAATGGAAGTGTGGGCAGCCATCATATGCAGAGCATACCAGCAGTTACCCTTATCCAAGCTAAAATCTGTTCTGTTCCTTTCATCCCTGCTATTGATTCAGCCACGGTTAGATGTTGCCTTGCAAAGGAGGAGCAAGGTGCTGCAGCAGGTCACTATGGAGGCTGAGGAGCCGCCATCTTAGGCAAAGGTCACAGCTACAGGAGCTCTCAGGATGGGTCAAGGTTTCAGGAAGCCCAAACATTTTTGTCCTCAAATCCATTTCCTGGGCATAAGCAAGGCACACTGTCAACACAGGCTCTGTACATCCTGGGACACTGTGATGAGACTGTGTCAGATGCCAGAGTGGGATCTGAGGGCTGCAGGAGGGGGAGGCCATCCTCTCCCAATGGCTATGAGGGTGATAACTGTTTTGAACTTCTATGTACTGGATCCTTCCAGTGGGCGATGAGTGAGTTGTGTCAGATCACAAACTGACGCACAATGCATCAGGACAGTGATTGATGCCATCTCTGTAAGATGACACACCGGTTCATTTAGTTTCCCGATGTCACGGTCAGTGCTGCAGCCTGGGCAGTAAGATTCAGGAACATTGCCTGTACCCCCAGGTGCAGGGTTCTATCGATTGTACACACGTGGCACTGAGAGGACCATATCACAACGTTGCAGAATTCATCAACAGGGCAGGCTTCATTCCGTTAATATTCAGGTGATCTGTGATCACTGTTACCCCTTCCTGGAGACATGTGCTCATTGACCCTCTCAGCTGCCATGACACCTACATCCTGGAGCACTCTGGCATACCTGGTATGTTTGAGGGTCCAGGGGCATACAAGGCTGGTTGTTGGGGTACAAGGACTACTGCACTGAGACTGTGGCTCATGACTATTAACCAACCCTTGTCTAATATGGAGCACAGATATAATGTTGCCCATGCCTCGACCAGGGCCGCTGTGGAGCAAACAATAGAGCTGGGACCTGTGAGGTGTGCAGGGAACTGAAAGGCTTTTAATGTTGAGAACAAACTTCTGAAGTTGCTGCTTGCATGCTAAAAAGCAATGAACCTTAACTGAAGAGGGTGCAAGATACCCAATATTCTACAAAATTGTTTCTCTCCTGATGAGGCAGGATCAAGTCATGATGTGGGAACTTAATAAGCAGTAGTGTGTAAGTTTTACAGTGTGTGGTTCACTGAAATAAAGCTCTCGCTAAAAATGTGTGGACTTGGACTCTGTTCCAAAACATTAATTTTCTACTGTATAACATGGATATCATTTGTGCACCCTCCCAAGCACAATGGAAGCTGAAATAACTCCACAGAGGCCGATGTCCCAAAGTCACCCTTTATTTACACATGGAGGGTCCTTGACACTGATCCAGCTCCCTCAGAGCCAGCTCTAGGAGTGAACGGAACCACTGACATTCCTGTTTATATCTGTCAGCCAGGGATCCCTGATTGGACCAGATTAACAACCTCAATCAGGGAACTCACATTCTGTGGGTCCACCTGGCTGACATTGTTACGCTCACTACAGAAGCAAAAGATTCACTCGATCCCAATGAAGTCTATTTAAGATGAACAGTCAATGTCGGGTCTTCAATCCATTAATTCAAGCAGTCTTTATTTGTACCATTTGGGAGGCCACCTTCAACTGGTCATGCCAACAAGCTTCTCCAACAATGTAGAGATTCAAGCCATCTCTATGTACAATTCTAATCACATTACAATCATAGTGCTACCTAAAGCAGAACTGATACTATTAAGAAGCACTGGAAGTTAGGACGCCACAACAATGATGCAAGATAACCAACATCTTATTAAGAGATGGAGGAGGCCACCATCACAACCAAGTGGCCCCAAGCAACATCCATTCACTCTTGTCATGGAAGGACAGAAACCTTCCACACAAAGTTCAACCTTAGAGCTGAGCTCAGCTCAGCTTGGTAGGCTCCATGGTTTTCAGTTATAGAAATAACATCAACATGGATGGTCCTCCAGAACAGATTTGCAGGATGTAAGCCAAGCACTAAACATCCAACAGAATGTCCTCAGGAGATGTGTATCTGATATTGTTCAGTGGAACATACCATGTGACTCACACATCTGCAATAAAGTTGCTTTGTTGCCTTTTTAAACTTAGCATTCAAGAATCGTTTTAACTGCAGAACTGATGCATGTTCAAAATATCCACTTTAGTATAATGTGGATTTTATTTGTCTAACCTCCTCACTGCCATGGAAGCAAAGGCTTGTCCCCATTATCATGGAGTCCACACATCCTAGCTGATA